TGAAGTCTACAAAACCATCAAGTCAGATTTGACCTATCCAGTAGATGACTTCCCAGAATCTGAAGTTGGTTAAACCTCTGTAATAGTATATGGCCTGTATCAAACTCTATCTTTTACGTTTTGTAATTTCTTTTCAGTTAATTCATTTCGAGGATGATGTTTAATCTCCTCTTGTAATGCATTTCAATCAAGTCATGTTCTTGCACTTAATAGCTTAATTTACTTTTTCATACTTAGGGGGAGATTGTTAGCTCTCATTCCTTTATTGTAAAAGTATAGAAAAAGTAAAACAGCAAGTATTGACAGAAGCTGATCAGTCACAGAAGACCTCAGAGGACAATCATCAGAAGAAGCTCTTTTGTACAAGGTTAAAGTGACAGAACCTCTGTCTTCATCCACAGAGGTTCTGGAAACTTGTCCTCTGCCAAGACAATGTTACAAGACAAAGACGACAGAACATATGTCGTGTCTCACAGAGGTTCTGTAAGTTGTTCCTCTGCTACATACGCTTCAAGTCATATCCAGCAGATCCTCTGTGATGTTTCACAGAGGGTCTGTAGCTAGTCTTCTGTGTAGATTATCTTTAGCTAGTTTTACTTAGGTCTTTTAGCTGCTCGTGCCTTCTACGTGATCTTGTCTGTAATCTGTTTCAGATGAACGGCTTAGATTTAATTGCTTTAGGTCGTGTCAGGAAACGGTTATTTGCTTGTATAAATAGCAGTGTAGGCCTTTGTATTTTGTGTGCTTCCAGATTTGTAATTGTCGATATTTTCAGTCAATTGAAAATCATTTGAAGCAATTCTCTTTGTGTTCATTACTTGTTCTTCATTGTGTTCTTACTGTTTCTACCTGTTTGATTGATATTGTTTCCGCTGCTCTACTACTGTCAAATCAATCCTTCAAGTAAGTTTTTAGTACCAAGAATTGAGTTATTCGATCCAACAGGTCTTTCAACTCCTTCAGCAACTAGCACTTGTCCCTGAACCAGCCTTCAGAGAAGTTGATTGTTAACAGTTGGACAGGGTCGCTACCGTCAACCTTCTTCAAGTTGAAGCAATCTCTGCCATCGTGCAAAAGCTGGAAGACCTTGCCTCTCACCTCCCTATCCCAGGTACTAATTTTGATGATGAGAAAGAGGAGAAGAATAATGAGGATAAAGGTACTGAAGGGGAGAATAATGATATGGAGATGAATGCTCAAGATGCTTTGAATGAAGATTCTCTGAACCCTACTGCTGAGGATGCCAGGGATAATGTTCCTGATGCCATCAATGATGATGATGACAATGATGCCATGGTTACTACTGCTGACCATGAAGACCTTCATCCTTCCACCTTTGCATTGCCAAATGTTGGTGATGAAGATGATGATGAGGATTCTGAACTTCAACTTCCAGATGCAGGTACTGATCTTGGTGGTGACGATGATGATGATGACAATGATGATGATGATGATGATTTTTGCATCCAACACAACCAGCAAAAGGAATATCCTTCAGGGGACCTGCTTTCCAAGGGGAGAAATCATCAGGGAACCAACACTCCTCTGGAAAAGAAAAAGGAGTGGCTGAAGACAACATTACCCTAGTTCTTGGGGCAGTCAGTCAATCTGATGATGCAGACACTTCCAGGTTTGTACCTCTTTCCTCAGACACTGAACTTTTATCCCTATCCCTTTATATTCTCTGCAACATACCCTATCGGTCTCTCAACCCATCTCCCATCTTTTGAAACCGAAGAGGAAGATGAATCTGAACATGAATCCAGGACTTTAATACTCAAGAAGTCGTCTAGATAACCTGTGTGTTCAGAAGTAGAAGAAGACCTGAGGATGGCTCAGCTGATAAGTCAGCTCGACCAATCCAGAGTAAAAATTCTTCTTCGTACCTCTGCATGTGGTGAGTTTGATTTTCTTCTAGAAGCTGAACATAAAGAATCCCAACGTGCTGAACAAAAGCTGAAGAACCATCAGCACCAACTCCAAGACAACTTGGAGTTAGCTAAGACTCTAGCTAATCAGGCACTTGCTGAAGAGAAATTCAAAAGGAAAGATCTGGTCAGTGCTCATGCCCAACAATCAGTAGAAGTTGAACATGAACATCAACGAGTGCTGAATTTGAAGGATCGTGACCTCAACTGGTGTAGAGAAAGGATCAAAAAAAGAATGAGCCTCAAGATCTCAAACATCACTATCAGTGGTCGGATGAAAGATGGTGCTCAACTTATTTCAATGGTCATATTTCGAGATAACAATGATGTTGTCACTAAGTATCCCTCCTTCCTTAGTTAGTATGGCTTCTCTAAATGGCTCAAAATTCGATAGGCTATCCAAAAGTCCAAATCTAAGCATAAGCCATATATTGAAGAAATTCTGAACGAATTACTCAACAAGGTGTTGAAGATCATCGAGGTTCCTCCTCTGCCATAGAAGCTCTCTCGAAGAAACAACCTTTCTGAACATGAAGATGGTCCATCCAACAAGAACGGGCATGAATTGTCACTGCATGAAAATGGTCCTTATATACCCAACACAGTGCATGTGAATCCTGAATATGGACTTATGTTCATTGACTATGATGGTCAATACAGGTTTCAACGAGTATATGAGTTCCATCTCTGGCCAATAGATCACTTAGAATATCTAAGAACTTGGTTGAATAATGATCTATTTGGAGAGATGATGGATCATAAGATTTGAAAGGAAATGCTCAGATGGAAGATGCTAGGAGAAGATGTTCCACAGTTGAAGTTGAAGATAGAGACTAGCAAGTTCGTGTCTGAAGCGGTTTTCAGTGATATCAAGCTCTTCTACACAAGTGTGAAATCTACTCAAGATTCAGGGAACACTGAAGAAACCTCAT